CCAGTACCAACCTCAGCCTGATTCAGCCCCTCCATTCCCCTCTCCAGCACTCCCATTGCCTCACTTCTTAACCTGCTCCCTATCTCTTTCACCACATTGAGCTCCTCGTCAACAACGTCAATGCCCGCAAGACCATATTCATCGCACAAACTCAAGATCTCACAGTGCAGCTGCGCAGCCTTGGTTAGATCCAGCTTCTCAGGTTCAGATTCAGCAGCAGACATGAGTTCGCGAAGCTTCTTGGAGAGACGGAGGGCGCGGATGGAATGAGAGAGGAGCTCGGAAGTGCGATGGAGATTGGAGAGCTGGGCAGTCTTAGAGAGGACGGCTTTGTGGGGATCAGAGAGCTCAGATCGGATCCGATGGAGAGAAGACTGCAGCGATGAAACGGAAGACCGAAGGGTAGAGAGAGAAAGCTCAGCGTTCTTGAGAGAAGACAACTGGGTGAGGAGGAGGGGATGGTGGGAGAGAACATGAGAACGGAGTTGGGAATCAAGGAGGCGGATGGCTTGGAGAAGATGTTCGGCAGTGGAGGCAGGAGAACCAGAGGAGAGGGCGGCGGAGGAGAAAGAGGTAGAGGAAAAGGATGGGGATAAAAAGGGGGAGAGGATGGGATCATTGGCAAAGGAGTCTAGAAGGGATGAAGGAGTGGTGGTGGTGGTGGAGGAGAAGGGGGTAGATGATGAAGAGGGGGTTTTGAAGGTGGAGAGGCGTTGGAGAGGGAAGGGAGAGGATGCGGTGGTTGGGGTAGCGGAGGATCTCTGAATTGCTGCCGGCGATGCCATTTTCTGGGAATTGGAAAAAATCGCTGCCACCCTCTGCTTAGATTGGTGGATTTGGAGGAGGAAGAGGGGAGTGAGGGTGTCTAATGGAGGCCCCTTTACTCCTCCTATCCGTCCCTTAACTTTAGAGTTTTATATAGTTTTAGTCCCTTAATTTTTTTAATATATTTTTTCGTCTTTTAATTATAAAAATATGTATATTTTTTAATTATTTTGTCAATTAATCATTAAGTACATTTATATATACATATTTTTAATCATTTAACTTTAAAATTCTGTACAATTTTTGTTTTTCAACTTAAAAGAGACTTTTAAAAGGGTTAACTACCCTTAACTTACTAAATTAAACAAAATGTTCTTTGAAATTATAGGTAAGAAAAGGAGATTGGGGGAGAAAGAAGAATGCTAAAACAAATAGAATAGAATATATAAAGGAATGCACTTGATCTCAGACAATTGAGGAACCCATGGTGCCATGACAAAGTTTAAGATTGACAAGCAGAACATAGATAGAGAATGAGCTATAGCCCCCTTATGCATGTTTAAGTTCCTTGGCTTTCTCAACTGATTCCCCAGCTTCTTCAAATGATTCCTGAACATGAACCAAAAATAAATAAATAAATAAAGATCATTAGGATGCATAATCAGAAAATACCACCCTTTCATGATCAAACACGAAATTAACAAGGATATCTTGTAAACTTCTATGAAGAAAAGAGAGGAAAGCAGAAAAGCAAAGCAAAGCACACATTCTTTCATTAACAATTATGCCTTTTACATGAAAATAAAGGAAATTGCTGAAAATAAGAAATAAAAACTGCTAAAAATAGAAGGAAACTACTATGAACGAAAACAAGTTAACTGCTCACTACATTAAAAGGAAACAAACTACTAACTGCAGCTAAATTAAATTAACATTGAGTGCCACTATCAAGAATGAAGGTCGATGGTCTTACTTAGTGTCATGACTAACTTCAACATATCTTAGTTTTTGATTCCAAATGAGGATTTGAGAACAAAATGTAGTTAGGTCTCTCACTGCATTGCTGAAAGACATGGTCTAAGAACAAATTAATTAACTTGCATGGAGAATTCAATAAAGTTTCCTGCCTAAACACTCATGTCACAACCTTTCTGTAATTATTGGCCACAAGAATGCCTTGGAGAAAGTATTTAAAAACAAAATCAAAAAAATACTTTAATCAACGGATCATTCCATTGTAACAGTTAATTACATGACACAGTAGCAGAGACATATAAAGAAGAGTTTATGGTTCGGCTAAAACCAACTTTTAGTCACTTACCTTACAAAATTGGTAAGTTTTAGCTTTTAACTTTATAATATGACACTTTTAGCTCTTTTATCTTATAAAATTAGTAGATTTAGCCCCTTACCTTATAAAGTTGGTAGGTTTTAACCCTTCACCTTATACTATGATACTTTTAATCCCTTATCTGTACGAATTGAAGAAAATAACCCTCACTTAACATCAGGTTATAATATTTTATTATTCTGTTAGCTAACTGTCAGTTCTATAATCAGTTATATTAATTGACTGTTAGTTCTGTTAGCTGACTGTTACTATCCGTTAACATTCCATAAATGGAACAACATATAAAATTGAATTTAAATTTCATATTTTTTTATAATGAAATGCTAACGAATGTTAACAGTCAACTAACAGAACTAATAGAATATTATAACTTGATTTTAAGTGATGACTATTTTTTTCAATTCGTATAGGTGAGGGGTTAAAAATATCATAGTATAAGGTGAAGGGTTAAAATCTACCAACTTTGTAAGGTAAAGGGTTAAACCTACTAATTTTATAAGGTAAAGAGCTAAAAGTGTCATATGATAAGATGTTATAAGATAAAGAACTAAAACCTACCAATTTTGTAAGGTGATGAGCTAAATGTTGGTTTTTACCTTATGGTTTCAGGATTCTAGTGTCACACAGAAAATCACATGGCAAAACAAATAACAAGGCCATGGTGCAGAACATACCCCAGAGTTATTAGG